CCACATCCGTCTTGGTACAAATGGTGGTTTTTCCAAGTGTAAGTGAACGGAGGTTCTCCCGTGGTCTGAGCCCGCTCCATAGGGTTCAGTGCTCCATCGTAGGTTGTGGTCGAGAGTTGGGCCTTTTACAAATGTAAGGTCGATGATTGTAAGCCTTTTTCCTCTGTCTCTGGGGAAGTGTGTAAAGACGCCTGCTTCGTTCAGGAGGGTCAGTTTCTGTCGAGTTATCCATTGTTTTAGCCGTGCACCGTTGGCGCGGTCTGCTCGGATGTTGTTCCTGTATTCATTTGATGTTACTCCGTACCACATTTGATGATGGCAGTTGAAGTCTCCCATTACTAGACAGTTGTCGAGGGTTTGGATTGTTTTTGCTATTTGGGCAAAGGGGCCACTTCGGCCTGGGGAGTATATGTTTAGGATTTGGGTTTTCTTGTTCTGGATTTCTACCGTAATCGATACTATGAAATTATCGCATGTGTAGTGGTGTTTTGGTTTGAGGTTGGCATGTTTGCGGACGTATGTTGCACATTTTGTATTGGTGTTGCTGGCTGTAAAAATATAAAGGAGATTTGATTCTGGTGGGTATCCCTCTGCTGAGGTCCATGGTTCTTGTAATAATAAAAAATAAATACTAGAGTCTGTTTCCACTTCTTCTACCGCCGCCTTGGTAATAAGTTCGCTCCGTGCACAATTAAGTTGGTGTGCGAGCGCGGTGGTTCGAGGCCTAAGCATTATTTGTCATATGTTGGTCGTCTTCGGGAACGGGTATGGCTCCGACCGGGGCGGTAGCTGGTACTTGAACTATTGGAAGCAACTCTTGGGCGGGTGCGGCCGGTGGGTCTTGAGCGGGTGGGGCGTTTTCCTTCCCTTTGAGGAATCAGCGTTTGGCCCTCTCGGAGCATGCTGGGTCGGAGGCCTTATGAGCTCCTTTGTAGTTCAGGCATCTGGTTGGGGTGTGGGTGCATCTATATCCTCCCTGGCATTCATTACATGGGTGGAAACTGGTGAGGTGATCTCCGGCGCAGTGGCCGCATTTCCCGTTGTTCTTGCATTTCTCCTGGCGGTGGCCGTATTCGAGGCACTTCGCACACTGGGTATCCGGGAAGGTCGGGAGGAAGGCCTCGATATGGCAGCTTCGGTTGAAGAGAGATAGGAATTTAACTCCTAGTGTTTCCATTGTAATTTGTCCTGGGAGCGCGATGACCATTGACGAGTGGGTTTTCTCCATTCGAGTCTCTGCCCTGGAGATCCAGCGGGGAACCTGGGCAAGTTGGAAGTTCTCTCCATAGTTGCTTCTAATTTCTGATGCTACCAATTGTCCCGCCTCGATGCCCTCCCCGACCGTTGTGGGGATTCCATGGAGGAGAAACTTTGACCATTTAGAGTTTGCGCGGATGACAGCGACCGGTACCTGTAGGGTGAGGAGGGCCTCCTCAATTTCTTTGGCATATTCCATTGCCTTTGTTGCAGGGGTAACGAATTTTGTTTCCAAGATAAAGTTATCCTTAGGTGTTCTTCTTGCTGAGATAAAATGGCAGGCCTCGTCTTGAACTCTTGCATTGACGAGGGTCCTGATCTCGGAGGGGTTGACGTCGGATGGGGCAGTAGTTTCAACAATGATCTCCCTGTTGATTTTGGTGTACTCTGGTTTGAAGAGGGGGTCCGCTTTTGGCTTTGCAGGCTTCTTTCTTCTTTCGACAACCTGGAATTTTCCTTGAGCAGGACCGGATGCCGAGGCCATGGTGGCCCAGGTGCCTGCCTTCCATCCACGGGGTGGGGCTTGTTGTGGGGGTGTGGATGGGGGGGCCTGAGGAGCTGCCTGTGGCGCTGCTTGGGGGACTGTTTGGGGGACCGCTGGAGGGGGCATTCTCTGTCCCTGCGGTTGTTGTGGTTTTCGCTGTTGTTGCTGTTGTTGGTGTTGTTGCGGTTGCTGCGGTTGCTGCGGTTGCTGCGGTTGTGGTTGTTTGTTGAGGAGGGAGTGGATCGCCGAATGCATATTGGTGATCATGTTTGTCTGCGCCTCGATTTGGTGTTTCAGTGTGTCCACTGTTCTCCGGAGAGTGATCGATTGCTCTTCGAGGTATTCAATCCTGTCGGAGGGTGGACAGATCCGGCTGGTAGCATGTCTGATGGCCCAGGTAATGTAGTTTAAGTCTGTCAGGGTGTGAGTGGTTTGGGGGACGGTACTTGGATAGAGATAGTCGATGCTCGGTTGGTAGGGGTCGTTATAGTCAGATTCTTTTGCAAAGGTTGAGGAAAACTCCTGCTCCTGAGTTCCGGATGGGGTTGGGTTGGGGTCCTGGGTGTTCCTATTCTGTAGAGGAGCTGTCCCTTGCTGGGAAGACTGGGTGAAGAAGGACTGAAGCGAAGATTGCTGCGACATGACTGAATGACCAGTTCTTCTGGCGGCGTAGAGTGATGTTTCAGATAGGTTTCTTTTCCTTCCTTTCGGGAGGTCAAGGCTGGAGAATTCTTCGCTAGAAGCCAGTTTTCGTAGGTTTCTTTCGCTTGGAACAACAAAACGCGACCGTACGATTGGGGACGAATTGGCTCAGCCTGGTATTGTATACCAGGGTAAACCGAGAGGAGTAAAATAAAGTGTTTTTGAAGCGAGGTTTGTTATCAGGGAGTTCTTTACGAGCCTTAGCGAGCAAGTAGAATACAGAGGTTGCGTAAAGAAAGAAGGAAAGAGAGAAAACAGGTAAAAGCACCAGACAACGCCCCCTTATATATCCAACCATAGTCCAATGATGACTAATACCTTTGCATAACAGAAACTAAAAAAACGTAACAGAAATCCCCATTACAAATCCTAATTCCAATGCACAATACCTTCTTTCCTCGTTCCAGTTTATCACCTAACCGAAATGCATAGCTGCTGTTACATTTCTTTAGAGTCTATCAGGCATATTAAGAGTTCTTTAAATATATATAAATATCGTGATATATATTTTGTGACAAGTCTTTTAAGGAGGTTTGTACCTTCCTTAATAATAGTATGGTTACAATAGGGGACATGGGGACGCGTTTCATTCTGTAATATTACCATAGTATTCAGAATAATCATTCTCAGAAGAATGCAGAGTTAAATAGGTACATCTGAAATATATTTATTTTCTAAAATAAGTATCAAACAAGAAACCTTGTCAGTTTGGGTTTGTTATAGGGTTCTGCAAAATGAAATATTTTGAAGAATACATCACCAATGCTTGATCAACCCTGTACGAAGAACTTTTGTGTGCCCAAATTAGGTGGCAATATTTTGCTAGCTCTTGGGACTATACCGACCATGGCAGCCATCACACTTATATACTGTCATCACTGGCTCTCACCGTAACTATCAAGCCATTTAGTCTATCATGTCATCTCAATCCTGGCCACATTATCAACACTAACACGTATCACAGATATACTGACCAGTATTTTGAGAGTTGTGAGCCCTAAACTAAACAGTAACAAATTTACACATACATGCGATTAAAATCTGTATAACTATTGATTTCACAGATGGTTTTAAATTGTATATCGGAGACCTGCTATTTTTGAGATGTTTGGATAATATTTAGGTGTTACTAAGCATTGCAGAGAATCCGAAATCTACTCAATGCTATACTGATATAGTATTCTTTACAATATAACTTCAAAATACCGAATTCTTTTAAATGTGTTGTAAAATTTATTTAAAAAAATGCAGAGTTCCTACTGTATAAATGAGAGCATTATCCTTAATACATCATCAATACAGAATGAAACGCATCCCATTTTCCGCTATTGTAGTTGTATTGCTGTGCTGCAAGAGGGATCTATGGGCAAATAGAGTGAGTTTTATGTAGTAGTTATGGTTAATAATTGAGATTGTAAATAACGGAGTAAAGAAGCGCAATAAATCCAAATCTTTTGATCACTAGCTATCGAAAAAGAAGGAAAAAGGAAAAAGACGAAGAAACAAAATTGAGGTGATATAATTTACACACAAGCGTTACGAATATGCTCAACACATACTCATATAATCCTTCAGCTAATACAAACCATATAACAAAATTTCGATCTAAGAACCCATAATTAATTTAGATCAATTTAATCAATGGGTTACACTAACTTGAGTTTTTACATACCATATATTTCCGCACCCCCCTAACCTTTATAAATACTGACTACCATCTCCAGATTAGCTGATCTGACCGGGGCTGAACATCGAGTCGTCGATTATAGTTAGCGTAATTTCGTGATTGCTTGTGCTTTTCGTATCTCAATCAAGTAAGAGGCAAACCACAGCCTTGTGTCCATTAATGATGGCCTTATTAATTGGCGTAGACCCGTTGAATGTTTTTGCGCGGATGTCTGCACCTTTGAGCAGCAAGAATTGTACTAACTCTATATGTCCCTTATCCGCTGCATAGTGCAGTAGCGTATTGCTTTCCTTGTCCGGAGTCATTATATCCACCTCTCCCTTACACAGAACTTCAACTACCTCCATGTGTCTCCTTGCTCCGATATCCAACTATCTAGATATCATGAGCAAAAACAGCACCATATCTTTATGGCCTGCGGTGGCTGCTATATGTAATGGTGTATAGCCACGCTATAGAACTTTCTTTGAAACTGAAAGCCTGTATGTGAAACGCCTGGGTCTATAAACTTCTTTTGCAAAGATGAGAAATTTTAATGCGTCTATATACCCATTCATGATTGCGTTATATTCTGGGAAAAATCCAGAATTATCTTCCAAACAAATTTGAACACCATGATACAAGAGAAACTGTATCACTTCTGTATGTCCTCCTGAGGCTGCTGTGTGTAGAGGGGTATTTCCGTTAATTTCGATCACAGATTCCATCCCTATATTCTGAATACATATTTTCTGTACAGGAATTCCATCACTAAAACATTGCCATCTGCAGCTGCTACATGCAGGAGTGTTCTGTTCCTCATATCTATATACTCTATATAGTTCTGATCTTGTGTTAACAGAAATCGAACTACCTGAGTATGGCCGTGTTTTATGGCCCTGTGTAGCGGTCAGTATCCATCACATTATGCTCATAGCGGGCTCGAAAGTATCCTTCCTCGTATAAAAGTGCTACCATATCCATTGAGCAATATTTAACCGCTTCATCGAACGGTGTGCACCCAGAAGTGCCTTCCACCCACACAAATCCATCGTGCTGTATGAGAAGTTGAGCCAGATCCTTATACCCTTTCTGCGTAGCAAGATGCAGCGGTCCATAGTCCTGGTCTGTCTTTAGGTTGGGATTTGCACTATTTTCCAGGAGAAACCTGACCATTTCTATTCGTCCATCCCTCAATGCCATGTGTAGAGATGTGAGCCAATTGTCAGTTGCTCCGTTGATATCCAGCCTACCTTCGGCCACCAAAAACCAGACGATATCCATATATCCCTCTTTCACCACGGTATGTAGTGTACAGAATCTGTTTTCGGCATTCAACCTGGGATCTGCTTCAATCTCTACCAGAAACTGAACCCACTCGAGGTTTCCGGTTGCTGCCGCGAGGTATAGTGATGTCCGTCCCGATCCGGTTATCGGACCATCTACCTGGGCACCATGCTTCACAGGAATCCTTGCAATATCCATTTCCCTTCTCATCGTCGCTATATGTAGCAATGTCAAGCCCTGATCAGTCCTTGACATGACGTTTATGAATACTCCATGCCCCAACAAAAACCGAACCAACTCAGCATTTTCTTGCTGTGTCGCGAGGTGTACTGATTTGTTTGAGTATCTACCGTCTTTCCCGGGCAAGTTGTTGGCTCCTTTCTGAATGAGTAAAGTAGCCAAATCGATATATCCCATCGTGAGTGCAGTTGCTAGTAGATCGTACCCAAGCTTATCCTTTCCCATGAGAGTATCTCCACTAGCCTCCAAAATGGTCCGAACCATATTGACATGTCCCCATGAAACCGTGTCAAGTAGGGCTTTCTTAGTATCTAGATACAGTTTTGGGTATTAGTAAGAAGGAAGATCGATAAAATGTCAAGCAGGTTTTCTTGCCTCTGGGCGAAGGGGGCTTAAGCATTGACATTGACAAGAAAGTGCCTGTGTAGATACGCAAATTAGGGTCAGAGGGAAGTTTCGCAGAGTATTGAGATTCCTTGATCGTCTCGCCCCAATACGTTGTCTCATCAGTCGTAAGCCATGGATGCAGACACCCCTGCTCTACGGTTAATCTGTCCTCCAGTGATACCATCAATAAACTGGTAATAAACCCTGTAGCCATGCTTCCCGTTCTTTTTAATTTCTCGTCAGGGAAAGGTATCTCCTTCCGAATATAACTGCAGAGGTTCTTGATATTTCCTTCAAATGGGATGTCATTGGTGATCATTTTGTGAACAACACATCCTAACGACCAGATGTCAACCGCTTCTGTATATATATCGATGAATTTTGGTTAACATAAAAGCCGTCGACCTCCGGTGCCATATAGCTGCGAGTTCCGACCTCAGTGCGCAACTGTGTGTCGTCTCCAAAGTACTTCGAAATACCGAAATCATCAAGTTTCACCTTAGAAATATCCTGAAACCAACGAACGATGAAAGTGTTCTACCAGAATCTTTAGTTGTACGAACTCCGCCCAGAGTGACCCTAGAGTTTTTGAACCTCAGGTTTCAGATCGTGGTGACAGATCTTGTGCCTGTGCATTATCACCAAGCCATTGAGCAGTTGTGTGTTAACTGACTTGGCACCTGCCCATTATATAGGGGCATATTTCCTAATAAGTTTGCCCAAATCGCCATACGAAATATATTCCATTGGGAGATATATCTTGTATTCGTCCTGAAATCACCCAAAAAAGTGAACAAAGCTTTCCGAGTACTTGGATAACGAGGTATCAGCAGGATACCAGATGGATATACATGGGGATGTTGATTGTGTATACTGTGACATCTTTATTAAAGTACTTAGCTCCCGACTCCCTTTACACCATCTCCTATTTGGTATCTGCTTAACCGCCCTAACCTTTCCAATCTGTACATAGCTTTCCCTCCATACTTCTCTAAACGAACCGTTGCCGATTCTACTGTTCCCCTCCCTTGCCCAGCGCTCTTTTACTGTGCATACCTGCACACCAGTTTCAAGGTGATGCGTCGTCATGGTTATACTATGTGTGAAGCTCATACCATCATGGAACTCGGTAGTGAGGTTGTGCGTCTCGTACTGGGTGAAATTGGCAGCTATTGCTCTTATATTTTTCGCCTGAAAAGCTGTTCTTTATGTAGATTAAGGGCGGATAGTCATTAGATTAGGTGAGGTGTGACGGTGAAAGAGGTGATATTCAATTCACGCGCCACGTACACTGGTTGCGGGGATGTTCCTAATGGAGTCAAGACTAGTGTTGTGTAATGCTCGATTAGTGATGGGCACAAGACAAGTTATCTTGAGACTAATTATGAGTTTCGAGACTTTTAGCAAGATAAGACGACACCAAGGGGTTGACAGGACAAGACAATACAAGACTAGGTACAAATATCTCGGGGATTTTTGGACTTTATTTCCCTACCTTAATATTCTCCCTAGCTATAGTTCCCAAAGAATGTGAACTTTGCAGCTAGTTTTAAAAAGGAATTGAAATTTTTATAAGCATTAATTATGATTATGGTAGAGACTTCCCAGCAACAAAGTCAAATGACTAAAAGTCTCGAGACTTTGACGAGACTAGACAATTGTCTCAAGATTTTCAAGAACCCAGTCTAAAAAATTCAATACGAGACGAGATTTGGAAAAGTCTCATCTCGTCTGGGCTCTTGCCCATCACTATATCCAATGATCGAGCTGCTCAATCATTGGAGTGGCTCGATCATTGGATATCACTCGCTCCTGTTTCAAACGACCAGTGATGCACACCACACAAAAGCAGACGGGGCTTCCCTTGATCTCTGCCGGTCTTGCATATAGGAAGAAAGAGTCTTCTAGTTAAAGAGACTTCTGGGTGGTATCATGCGAAGTGTTCAGACGACAGGTGTTCTGGTAGCAGATATATGTCCTCCTTCGCTCACACCACCTCCTATAGTGCAAACCGTTCTTGATAACACTCTATAGTAGTCTTCAAGCCGTTCCATAAGATATAGGATTTCTAATTTATATTAAATAAAAAAAAACTGAATACTAATCGATTAATGTTTCAAAGGTATCACCTAACAACAACCCTAACCCACGGAGTATCTAGTCCGAGTGATATGAGATGATTCCGATAGCAGGCCAAGTAAACATTACAAAGGGCGTTTACGTCAGTATAGGAGACATTAAACATCAAAGCTTCATAATATCATGGTGTCAAGAGTACGAAACCGTCCTTGCCCCCTGCTCTCCTAGTTGACCTTGAGTTCCTACCCGTATGATGTTTGGTCATTGAGTGAGTGAGACATTATGTATCACTCCACAATTTCAACGCTTGGCAAATATGCGAAGATGCGGAGAGAAATATGCCAAGAGAGGAAAGGTATTTGTATATAGAAAGAGCCGAGTAGTAAACGGACTGGATGTGCCATCATAGACGTACTCGCAAAAGCCCAAGAACTATGTAGATGTATCTTGCAGGATTGTAGCCCTAACCCTCAAGACGCACTGTCGTGCTAGTGAGCGCTTAGCTAGAATCATGGACTTGTGTCAATGTGTGGAACCTATAGCTATACTGTGTCCTGATAGGGCATCACACCATATATAGATACACGTAGTTCCCGAGGAATAGCCTCCTAATCTATCAGTCTTTTGTCTCTCGATTAATTAGGTCCTATTGATTCTAGTTTTGATACCGTTCACCCATCACGAGAACAGCGCCCTGCCTTACAGCACCTGACCCTGGCTGTCAATGGTCACGTGCACAATTAATATATCACAATCTAAGTAATTACTAGACTTGATAGAGAACTCGGGGAGAAGTAGTTAATTCATCAATGCGAACATTTCTTTCACTCGGCACCAGACTATACCCCCTCATCAGAACAAGCTGACCAGAACTGCCTGCGATACCCAAACCTCCACGGTCAGCACACCACCCTGCATCTGCATGCTCGCCCCCATCTCATTCCTCACCACTGGCCTCCCTTCCGCCAATGCATAATCATACACCACCTCGCCCACACTCACCCCCTCCGTCGCATTACTCCCCTCCGCATCTAACCTCTCCACTTTTGCCCCCCTGCACCCCTCAGGCACGCAGAAACTATACACCCTACTCGGCCGCTCATACAATTCCGCCGCTTTATACTCCTCCAAATCAATAACCACGAGCCTTGCGATCACAGAGTTGTCGTAGATGGCGTACACTGCCTCTGTGTCGCTTTCGCGCGGGATATTGAGCAGCTCGGTATCACGTGCGCGATCGAGTATTCTGGCCACCATAATATTTGCGTAGTAAGGTGGGCGAGTGGTAGGTGGGATGCCATGGCTAGCGATCGGCTGCCAGGAGGCGTAGCGGTAGTTTAGGCCTTGGTGGTGGTGGATGCGTTTTATATTCTATGCTCAGGCTGTTAGAAGGAAGGGCTGTATACATGTAGAGAGGAGTGAAGAGGATCGAGGGCACACCTGCGAGGTGCACCAGAGGTCGTAGTCGAGTGGCCAGAGGGCGGAGTCGAAGAAGTTTGTGAGCCCATTAGAGCCTTGGCCAGAGATGCTGTTGGACTTGCCGAGGATGAAGGGGAGGTCTAGGTTTGTCAGGATCTGTGAAAAATTGACGTGCTTGGAGATGCTGGATACGATGGAGCTGTGGTTCATGAGTGTTCCTGGAGAAGGTGTTCATGTGTTATTGTCACGCTGACCCACTCGTTTTCATATATGTTGGAAATTGTGATATATTAACTCACCTTGAAGCGTGCTGGGCGACTGTGAGTTCATATAACTAAAACCACACTAACCTTATCAGCATTCCGGCATATTTCACCATCAATTTACATCTCTAAGCTGGATTCTCTACTTGTGTATGGACAGCTCCCTGATCCTCCCCTCTATATTTACTTCCATCTCAAACGCCTCCACCGGCTCCAATCCTGACACCGCATAATGAACCCACGCAAACGACGGCCCCAAAAACCTCGTCTCCACGCCCGGACATGATTCCTGTAACTGTTTCACCACCGACGCCGTCTTCTCCCTCCACTCGGCCATATAGTCCGCCAAGGTCCAGTTCGCGGGCCAATACGATCCAGGAGCAAGATCATTCTCGTTGCCCGGCTCCCACAGGTGCAAGTTGGAGCCGATGGCATAGCAGGCTAGGTCAGCTTGATGCAGGAGGCTGGTGATGGTGGCGGTACCGTTCTTGCCTTGGTTGAAGCCTTGGATATAACGTGTGTTGGGGAAGATCTGGAAGGACTCGAAGAAGGAGGGGCCGATGGTGACGGTGGTGGGTTGGTCGGAGGTGGCAGTGGGGAAGGTGTTGTTGATTGCGCGGGAAATGAGGGGGTCGTAGAAGGCATATTCTCTGTGATTTGGACTTTGGGTTAACAGTTGCTGAGATTTTTGGCTTTGGCATTGGCTGCTATAGATCGCTCATTTGCTATAGATCGCTCATTTGCTGAGAGCTGTTTATGATAGGAGGGGGACAAAATGAGTACCACCCCCAACCCTCACCATGGGCATAACACCCGTCAGCTCCCCCAGATTCGATAGAAGATTTACCGAGAACATATTCGGATTCGATAAATTCCTTAAAGTACACCCCACCATCAATTACCTCCATACAGCTATCAATAAAAGCCGGAACCAAACCTGCATAGTCTGGGTTGCTCGCTTCGGCGGAGACATACCTGGTGAGATGAATGATGCTGGAGCAGTTTCCTGAAATTGCTGCTGATGCGGCGGAGGAGTCAGAGGCCGTAAAGAGGAGAAGTAGAAGTTGTAGCATTATGGCTCCAGTCAGGTACAAAGGCCACATATTCTACAGTGCGGAAGAGTTGTCCTTTATTTCCTCCCCCTCATGACGTCCCCATGAGACATCAAATGCGCGGAAAGTATCTATATTATCATTTCCACCCGACATAAAATCAAAGTAAAGACTCCTCCACAACTCCCCACCGATTAGAACCCACGCTGGTCACCTCAAATGAGCTGTTTCCATCACGAAGGAACCCAGGCCAGCCACCAGATACCCCCGGAAGCCAAGAACGATCCTGCCGGAGGTCCCCTGGACATTTCTCCTGCCGATCACTTGTGGGAGTTCTTGAAATAGTATGCTCAGCACATTTCATAGTATTGGAGGATTGTCATTTGTCATTATGAGTCACGGGTTCTGACTCATTTTCTCTCTGGTATTTATTAGTCATGTTTTTCTATTACTCATACAGCTATGATTCACTACATTTTTGTGTTACATTTCTTTAGTATATATACAGGGCATTCCCCCTTTTAGTTAGTTGGAATAACACGATCAATTACTATACTTTTCTACATACATTTTCTCTGGGTTGTGAGCCCGGAGACTATTTATGCTTAAAAGCACTCCAAACCATTTTTACTATCAAAGTACACTCTATCGTTTCAATTCAAATATGTCGAGCAACAGTGTAAAAATTCCCGCTTTACCATGCAAGCTGTTTGGCTCAGGCCATTACACTGTTTGGAGGGCCCTCACTTGTCGCATGTTGAAAGTTCACGATTTGTGGAATCTAGTCAATGATATGAGTAAGAGTCCTGTATTCACCACAACCACTACTACGGTTACAGTGGCACCACCTGCAGTACAACCAGCAGAAGGTGCAGCAGCAGCAACACCAGTAGAAGAGGACGAAGAAGAATCCACAGACAACGCCTAAGAAATCAGTGAATAGGACAAGAAAGACAACCTCACGGTCGTTCTCTTTCAATCCAACATCGAATTTAAAGTCATTCTCACGCTTACTCCAACCGATACCGCTCACCACCTTTGGACTCAACTTGAGGAGAGATTTGATCGAAAACCTGTATTTTCCCTCCACTCGCTTCTTGCCAACATTGTAACCCTACAGTATACGCCTGACAAAGGTATCAAGGAACATTTAATCTAATTCAATACTCATTAATCATCCGTCCTCACTAGAACTAGTAAGTCTACAGATAAAATCAAAGACCCACTCGGTTATCACCTCCATCAACTTGCATCAGCCTCAGAAGTGAAAGCATCCTTCCTACTTCTCTCACTCTGGCACGAATCCCTCGAATCAGTCATTGATAACGTGCAACCCAAACCCAATGTCACCTTCGATAACGTCTATGAAGACCTGTTGCATCTGGACTCATGATGCAACAACAATGGACAGGCAGCTGGAGAAGTCTACAATATCAGGCGAGGAAACCCAGGACACGGAAACAACAACAAAGTCGGCAAGGGACGGAACAACAAAAAGGACAAAAAGGATCTCACATGCACATGGTTCACCAAGAATGGCGAATATGCAAAAGGCCACACGCACAAAGACTGCCGGAAACTCAAAGCTTTCAGGGATAAAGAGAGTTCCGCTGCATCTGGCAACATCAACGTCGCATCCGTTACTGCATTTCACACAAAACTAGACCTCTCTTGGATCCCTGACCTCTCTGACCTTCCCGCACTCGAAGAAACTGATGCATTTACTATGCCAGTTTCCTTCGACTTTACCACTTTCTGAGGTACTTCGGATGTAACAATGGAAGATTACTTTGGCTTCATTGCAGGATCTTTCACATCTGGCAACAAGGCATGGATATTTGACCCTGGTGCAACTAACAATATGACCAAAAGTCTGTAACGGAGCCATTTCAACTGTCTGGTGTATGAGTACACAGAGGGCCCGGTTACATGCTGAGAGTTATTGTTAGAAGCCAGTTGCATGGTGATATGCAAGTACCGGCAGTGTGGTTAGCTACCAGCTGTTAGAGTAACTACATTCCGGGCGCTAGGAAGGAGATCTATTCATGGGAGCAATGACTGACGAGTCTAAGCCTCGCCAGTGACTAGAAGATCGGCAAGAGTGAAGCTCTGATTGTCCGGTGATCCTCTGTATCCTCTGAGTATTGTATGTCCGCCGAAGAGGCAGGAACTATGCTAGGGAAGTCTACAATAAGCGAAAGCTCTACAGCAATTATTAAGCTTACACCTGAGCGGCTGCTCATTCATGCAGGCCCTTGGTTGTGTGGCAACCAAGGCTGCAGGTGTTACAAAGGCTTTGACTAAGGGTGGTTGCCGTGAGTATCGGAAACACCGGCTGACACTTAGAGAAAAGCGGAGTAGCGGTGGTATTGTTTCCGGCACCGAGGAAAGGCCCCACCGGAACTTAGTAAGGAGTTAGGAGCGAAGAATAGAGGCCTTTGGAGTATAAGTACTCAGGTTCATTCTCGCCCTTCATTCCTGTTCTTTCCACGCTTCATCAGAAAAAGAAACCAAGTTCTTATCGGTAGCAGAGCCCTTAAAGATTATTGAGTTCTAGCGATAGTATCTTTGAATAATCTGCAACCTGATTGTCTATCTTGCATGGCCGTCTCTATTCTATTCGATTCCATTTCTCTTAGAAAGGACCTCCGTTACAAAGTCAGGTTATCAACCCCTCACCTTACAGTGGAATAGTCACTGTCGGGGGCGGTCGCAATCTCAAGATAACCAGAATTGGAAATGTGACCATCAATGGATCACATGATCCCATTGCTCTGCAGAACGCATTTTTAATCCCAGAGCTCGGCAACACCAACCTAGTTTCTTGGTCATGTATTGCCAAAAAGGGATTCACAACAACAGGAACTGAAAACACCTTTACCATTTATAAACTGAACAGTGAGGAAATCATTGGGATCGCTAACGCAAATAGTACTGGTCTTTATATTTTTCAAACCAAGGAACCTTGCGTACACATCTCCCTCGCCACCAGCTTCTATGACTGGCACCAACGACTCGGACATCTCCCCGCTTCCTAACTCTCATGGTTACGTAATATGGTCGCTGACCCAAAGTTTCTCTCCACAACAGTTCACATGGAAACATGCAATACATGTGAACTCGCCAAATCCACCAAATCACACCTCGCTCCTCTTACCGAATCACGATCCAAACAAACACTAGAACTAATCCAATAAGATCTGAGCGGCAAATTTTCCACTCCTTCTATTGGCGGTTTTAGTTACTATATTACTTTCATCGACGATTACTCAAGGTACGCTCTTCTCTACTTCCTTAAAAAGAAGTCAGATGCAGCAGCTGCCACACAGCGGTACATCGCATACATGGAAAATCAATTGGACAAAACGGTCAAACGGTTCCGAAGCGACAATGGTGGTGAGTACATCTCCAACGACCTTCAACAATTCTTTGCCTCTGAAGGCATAAAGCATGAATTCACTGTAGCCTACTCTCATGAGTCAAACGGAACAGCAGAACACTTTAACAGAACAATAGCAACAATGGCACAATCCGCCTTGCTCGACCACGATCTTTCACGAAATCTATGGGCAGAAGCGATCAATTCAATAGTACACGTCAAAAATCGTATTCCGCATAAAGCACTCCCAAATATGACGCCATATGAAACACTCACCAGCAAGAAACCCTTCATTGGGCATCTTTGATCCTTCGGTGAAATAATGTTCATTCAGATACCTGTTGAAGCACGACCAGCTGGAACAAAGTTGGACGCTAGGGCAATCACAGGACAATTTTCCGGCTATGGAGACTCTGATAAGATCTGCCACGTTTATATACCATCACAAAGGAAAGTAGTTCTCTCTCATAATTTTAGGTTTAAAGGTCAGTCCGTAGGGGAATATATCGAAACAATGAAAACCGACATATTCTCTAAACCAAAACAAATTGAGATCAAAAAAGAACCACCCTCACGTCCACCAACACCATCTGCGAAACTCTCAGATTCCGATATCGAAGACTTGTTCAACCAACAAATACTTCGGGAAACTATGGAACACCTTTCCGACGACGAATCTGAAGAAGAAGAATAAGAAGAAGAAGAATGAGATGCAAGTAAAGTGGTGGTTTAACGGGGGTCTCTTCTAAGAAGAAATAGAATAAGATAGAATAGAGTGGGCCATGCAAGATAGACAATCAGGTTGCAGATTGTTCATAGATACTATCGCTAGAACTCAATAATCTTTAAAGGCTCTGCTCCCGATAAGAACTTGGTTTCTTTCTGATGAAGACTGGCGAGAACAGGACTGAAGGGCGAGAATCAGCCCGAGTACTTATACTCCGAAGGCCTCTATTCTCTACTCCTAACTCCTTACTAAGTTCCGGTGGAGCCTTACTCGGTGCCGGAAACAATATCACCGCTACCCCGCTTTTCTCTAAGCGTCAGCGGGTGCTTCCGATACCCAAGACAACCACCCTTAGTCAAAGCCTTTGTAACACCTGCAGCCTTGGTTGCCACACAATCGGAGCCTGCATGAATGAGCTGCCACTCAGATGTAAGCTTAATCATTGCTGTAGAGCTTTCGCTTATTGTAGACTTCCCTAGCATAGTCCCTGCCTCTTCGGCGGACTTACAATACTCAGAGGATTCAGAGGATCACCGGGCAATTAGAGCTTCACTCTGACCGGTCTTCTAGTCACTGGCGAGGCATAGACTCGGCAGTCATTACTCCTATAAATAGATCCCCTTCCTAGCGCTCGGAACGTAGTTACTCTAACAGCTGGTAGCTAACCACACTGTCAGTACTTGCATATCACCGTGCAACTGGCTTCTAAGAATAACTCTCAGCATATAACCGGGCCCTGTGTGTACTCATACACCAGACAGTTGAAATGGCTCCGTTACAGGTGGCTGGCTTATCGAGGCCCACTCCTGAACGTACCTTGCACAAGGGTGTTGATACATATACTGATGAACCGAGACGTAACCCAGTATGGGAATGGAAACTTCCGGTCAGGTACGGACGCAACATTCAGTATGATACCACCATTGTGGAACTAACAAACTATCCCTGAGCGATCAACAGTCCTGACTCCGAAAAATGGCAAAAGGCTGTGGAAGTTAAACTCGACTCACTCTGGAGGAATATTACGTGGAATCTGGTTGACATACCAGATTACCGAAAACTAGTAGACTGTAAATGGGTATATAAAATTAAATTTGGGCCCGATCGCAACCCCATTCGGTATAAAGCCCGACTTGTCACAAAAGGCTTCTCAGAGATTCTTGGTCAATACTTCGATCAAACCTATACTCCCATGACCCGATACGAATCCATCAGACTACTTCTTGTTCGCTGTCTACAAACCGGTGACCAATGCGATTAGATGTCTGTTACTAACACTTTTCTACCTGGCAAACTGCAGGAAGAAATCTATATGAAATCTCTACCTGACTACCTTACTCCTGGCAAAGCATGCAAACTAGTCAAATACATCTACGGCCTCAAACAGTAATCTCGGGAATGGTATACTCGTCTCTCCAACACTCTAATCAGAATGGGATTCAGAAAAGTGGACTTCGACCCTTGTATTTTCATTCATAAAACAAGGAAAGTGGTTATCGCCATCTATTTGGATGATATCCTTATCATCCAATGGTCTGTTGAACACAAAAACTGCGTGAGCCTTTAACTCCACGCAGAATTTGAAAACACAGAAACTGGTACAGTCAACTGGGCACTTGGGATCCACTTGATCCACACTAAAACTGGCGTGATACTATCACAGGAAGCCTATCTCAAGTGTGTACTTGTCGAATACGGTTTCAATGAATTTAGACCTGTGGCAACACCTAATGACAATAATGTTCACCTACAAAAGGGAACAGAAGCGGAGAAAATCAATGATCCAACAATCTATCAGTTTATTCGGTACCAGACCAGACCTTGTCTACACCGTTACGATGCTTTCACAATTTTCATCCTGCCCCATTCAAGCTCACCTGGCTGCAGTCCATCGCGCCCTTCATTACCTCAAGGGTACTTTTGATTGGTCAATCTTCTACGCAAAAACGCCACCCACTGCACTCATCGGCTTCAGTAACGCAAGCTATGCTTCCGACATCGCCGCTTATTTACAGGCCATTGCTTTATGCTAGGGGAAGCTTTCATCTCCTGGTGCTCTTATAAGCAGCGCTCCGTCGCTACCTCTACTACTGAGGCAGAATACATGCCTCTTTCAGATACCAGTCGACAACTGATATAGTTAAAGAATGCGATACGCGAATTGGAACGGAAACCAAAACTTTCTTTTATTATTTGCGGTGATAATAATGGTTCCCTGTCCTTGGTTAAAAATCCTATCTTTCATAAATGGTCTAAATATATTGATGTGTATTTTCATTTTGTTCGGGAACGATACGAAGATAAATTGTTTGAGTTGGAATATATTTCTACAAACGAAAACATGACAGATTTACTTACAAAGGGATTGGATAAGGGCAAGCATGCTTTATTCTCTTGTACTATTCACTGTGGCTCACCAAGGGATGTCTTGAAATAGTACGCTTAGCACATTTCATAGTATTGGAGGATTGTCATTTGTCATCATGAGTCATAGGTTTTGACTCATTCTTTCTCTGGTATTTATTAGTCATGTCTTTCTATTACTCATACGGCTATGATTCACTATGTTTTGTGTTACCTTTCTTTTGTATAAATATAGGGCATTCCTTCTTCTAGTTAGTTGGAATAACACGCTCAATTACTATACATCTCTACATACATTTTATCTATAGGGAAGGCGAGAGCCCTATCTAGGTGATACTTAAATGAAGACTTTAAATGAAAAGTGGCGTACTATTTATGGTCGCCGAAGCGCGGTATTAGTCGGATCCGTAGATTGTTGATTGGGACGGTCAGCTGACCACGATCCCGGTCAAGAAGCTCTCTTCTACTTATAATATAGTGTTTCTGACCACTTAACGAGTGAGATGATATTTATCATGCGTCTTCGCAGGCAAATCCCGTATAATGAAATGCGTGTAATGTGTGCATGTTGGTCTTATATAGTAGTGGATATGTGTAGGTATTTATGGAAATTAGTGTGGACCGCCTAGATGACTGAGGAAGTCCTAGGCATAGTTCATAAATATAGAAATTAAGTCGAATCTGAGTACAATGATGATGCGTGATGATGGCCAAAGCGGACGAGAGAAGAGGGATAAGCGAAGACGGGAGCTAGCTATATAAATACCATGTGGTAGGGCCTAGGGCTCGCACTGCTAAAGCTTCTGCTAGTGGGTGCGGTCACAAGCCGTCACCCGCACGCACCCACAGTCCCCCCTATATGAGGGATTCGATTTTTGTATTTAGGAAATTAAGCAAGTTTCTTGACGCACACCACAACCAGTTACCATCGTTACATATCCTGTGACTTGTTCTTGGCCCATGTTCTAACACCTGTCGTCTTCTCGCCCAACGTCTGATCATCCATTTGTCCGCGCCAGAAAGTGTGTAGATCATGGTAGAGACTGAAATCATGAAGGGGAGTTGTTATCTTGCCTACGGTCCATAAATTGTTGGGTTAGGGTTTAAATATCGTATCTTGGCGATAGGACTCAAAAAATCAAATAAGCCCCGTGTAACGATTTGCGCACCTAAACCTGACGTTTCTTGCTAATATTATCCATTTGGTATTATCAGTCTAATGTCTACGGGATTACATGGGCATTACTCCTTATTCCTCCTCCCCCTCTCCGTTCTCCTCCCCCTCTTCACAATCGTCAGAGACGTCGAGGTCGATGTCGGATTCGACATCGACCCCCCCTCCACCTCCACGGCCGATTAGTGCTACTAGCGCAGCGCGGGCTACTGGTGCAGCGCGGGCGTCGGCGGCGGGTGTCTCCTCGTCGTCGGAGACGTCGTAGGGATTTGTTACTGCCCCGTACCGGGGGTCGTCGTCGATTTTGGTATAATTTTGCTCAACACCGTGCTTTGATTTGACCATCTTCACCTTGGGGGGGGCGTATCGCGAAATGATCTACCCTCACATGTTTCCATGCCTCGGATTGGCCGATGCGATCCCAGAATAGGATCAGGGCCTGACGGTTGTAAAGTTGGGTATGTAGTGCATCTAGGTGAAACTTCACCATTGCGCACATGTTGACGTATCCCTAGTTGATAAGAATAGATAAAACTGACAAAAATGTAAGCGGGATTTCAACGAAGCGAGTAGAGACCAAGGGATACATACGTACCTATGGCAAGAGCCAGATAATACAGGTGAATCTGGCCGCCTGTGCAAGGAAAAGAATTGCCACAGGAACGACACATACTTAATAACGCCTCCCGCTGCAACCTCATAGCTGCAGCTCTCCCTATAGTGAACTGTAACGCACCGGCAAACAGATTCCCCATTAATCCGTATAGAGCGTCTGAAGCCCCATCGTGAGGAAGCCCCTTGGTGACTCCAACGAGGATTGCTATGATTGCCAAGAGTATTCCTAACAAAACATAGTTAACCCACTAAAAAACGTTAGCAAACTGATACACATAAAGCCAACATTCCACACAAACTTGCAAGGATAGAATAATCATACCCCGTCAGTCTTGTGGAGCATCTCGAGGCGAATCTTCTGCGGAGTTATCCCCCGAGCTCCCACCACCAAACGCAGAAGAGCTGCCCCTTGTGCTGTCTGTTCATAGGTTAGACCAAGGATATCAATATCCATTCCCATTAAGTAGGTCCCCCCGCTGCACCTGATCATTGTTGAATCGATTTGAATGAAGGCTTGAATCTGGCTCAGGATCTCCGCCTCGGGGCAACTGGGGCACCATCTGGTACGGTAGGTTCCGTGGTCCTTTCGGCTGATAATCTCAACCTTGACCCATTTACAAGTGGTCGGCAGATGAGTATGGACATGTGGAGCTAATGCCGCTTCAATGTCGAGGCAGACCACCATCTGGTGTTGTGGCTGTTGTTGTTGTCATTTTTGTTGATAAGCTCAACATTGACTCAACCGTGTTGACACCAAGGTCAATATGGTCAACGTTGGCTGCATCGTGTATCAGCCTCTTGTTCCTTATCGATGACTTGATGGAAACATACACACCTCGAGATGCCACATTATGTGGCTCTATCGTTAGGACGTTGATGATAGTATCGATGGTGGTGTTAGTGTCGTTAGGACGATGATGATGGTATCGATGATGATGCTGATGATCATAATGATGATGGCGATGATGCTGACGATGGCAAGACGAGGGAAGGAAGAGGAAGAGGAGGAGAGATTATTTCAAAGAGAGTGGCCCGGACTGGCCACCTCCCCCTGCCCGCTCTAGTATACGTACACAAGTATATGTGTACATGTAAGTTTCCTCCGCTATGCCCCGAGCCTCCACATGTACATGCCACTTATATTATATATGTACATGTCAACCAATAGAGGCCAACTACGCCAACATCAAGTCACCCTTCTCCCTGGGCCCTTCCTGTTTTCTCGGCCACTGTCATGGAATCAGGGATGAGGAACCTTCCTTTCACCACCCCCTCCCCACACTAAATCCAGTAACTTTATCAACGAATAACCACTAACCGACCCCCGACCCAACGAGGGTAACGTGCACATACCATCCATATATTCATCGAGGAGCATACATGTAAGATCCAGAGGCGTAAAATCCAGATGAGAAGCTGGATCTTCTCCGAGTGATAGTACGTGATTCATAAGCTCAGGTCATCTCTGCTTTTCACTTTGGCAGCAGCCAAGTATACAACTACTCATGTGAAGCATATGAACATTGGAGCTCGTACTGTGCTTACACCATTAGACACTCCTCTTTCCGGGACAGCGTAACCTCTCTATCCAATAGTTCCAGCCACCTGCACCAAGCCCTCCCCACCGAAGAGCTCCCGGGATGTCATTTCACCACACCTTGATTTTTTGCAGTCTTGTATGTCTGAGTAGTGGTCAAGCCACCATGAGTAGATGTGGCAGAGCGACCTCCGCCTCGCCAAGTAACCCCCCTCTTCAGAGCGCTCCCCATGCAAGACTCTGAGACCACACGTCCGAGTGATATCTCCTGACGCATGATAGACCGCCTTATATAGCCTCTATGTACGCTTCGGTTCAACGTACCACGCATTCGACAAATCTCGATCGACGGAGAAGTCCGATAGCCCCAGGTTTCACAACATGAATGTGCTCCTACCATCCGTATGGTATTAAATCCGTTTTACGTACCTCATTCTGCCCTCGGTCCATTACACCAATTAACTGTTTACCACTACAAACCGGCGACTCTTTAATGCCGACCCTGAATCAAAGCCCTGATAGAAGCTCAATACACGTACAGCCCAACTCAAGTTTAGATACCACGCATCAGGAATACCAGAACCCCAAACCGCAGAAGCAGCAGCAGCAGCAACAAACCCTAACCCTACTACAACCCTAACCCCGAATACTAGCGTGTCTTTCCTCGAACTCGAGAAAAACTGAAATGGTCACATACCGCCTGAGATCTGAGAATTAACTACATGGCAAGCCTTGTTCACAGCGGCAGTACTAGCCTAGGCTTATCAGAGCTCTTGAAATCCATCACGAGGATAGCAGAGAAATCTGCACTTCTCCTGCCGATAGAGCCTTGCGTGTGACATGTAACGGTGATTGGCACGATCGATGCATTATCAACAACTCTTTTAGCATGGCGAACACAGACTTCTCCAGCGAGCCTCGTGAGTCGTACGACGAGGCTGCTTTGTGATCATCGATAACCAACGCCGTGCGGGTACAACCACAGGCCTATGGGACATGCATATATACCGCTAGGTTCCCCCACCTACCTCAAGTGAAGGCGACCACTCGTTGCAAGGCAAACTCGCGGATTCAAGCTCATGCTGTAGATGGCGGCACTCTCAGCCATCCATGAAAGACGGCCAAGAGATAGGACTCGTAATAAATCCAGTAGATGAACGATAGAGTTGGTTTCTGGCTGAACATGCATGGAACGGCACAAACACCATAATTACATGCAGTACAGATCCAATCCATTTGGCATCGTGTGTTTTTCGGTGCTCGAGGGAAGACAAAGAGCATTAATATACCGACACCAGGACGCCTCAAAGTCTTTTATAATCGGGCCAGATAATCGCCTACCTGTATATCCCCTCATAAAGCCTACAATTAATCACCGTCAACCAACCCAGACCGACTCCTCATCATGGCCACCGCAGACGCTCCTCCACCCGGACACCGTCTCCCTCGGCCGCCTCACCACCAACGCCAACCGGCCGCCACCACCAACGACCTCTCCAACTCCTCCACCTGGTTCCGCGACGCCTGCCGCAACCCCGCCACGCGCCTCTGGCTGCAAGAGACGATCGAGCAGGAAGGTGCAGAACATGGCTCTGGAGGAGGGGAATCGGTGGAAGACGGTGTGGGACTGGAGGGGCGCAAAGAGGTTTGAGAGCGATGAGGATGATGTGTTTGAGGCGGAGTTGACGGATTTTAGTGATTTTGAGGATGATGGGGAGGGGATGGAGGTGGGGGGCGGGACGGATGGGCGGGGGGGTCGACAACTTATGGGTCGATAAACAGGGCAGAAGAGGGTCATTCTCAACTAGATCGGCCGTCGGGGCAAGCCTCTACCTGGATTGGATGGCCCTCAACTACTGCTGCTGTCCGGGGAATAGTCTTCATGCTCATCTTTCTGTTTGGCCGATGGCTGTTCGAATACCTCTGGCCGTCTGAAAGAGCGCGGTCGATCGAGGGGAGACCGACTTAGCAAATCGCATTGTATGATGGTTTCTATTCGAACATGTTGAAGTAGCTAGGTTCACCGAGAAGAAGAAGAAGCAAGACGATGAGTGTTTGTAACAATCTCTCTAATCGAATGTGAGAAGGATCAGATCCGCTATTTGTAGCAGGACGGATGAAAATGTTGAACATGTGTATGCTGTCTAGAAGAGCGCAAAAGACGCTCATACTGTGGTGACAAAGACACGTCCGGTATGAACGGGTTTAGCAAAACAGGGAAACAACGAAGCAAACATTGCCAACAACAGGACGGACATCGATGCATGGCGTTCATCCCAGATACGAGGCTGTGTAAAGAAGCAACATGGTATTTGAGTGTTCGGAGGGTCTGATTAAAATCCATGGTCTTGATGGTTTCACCCATCATCTCTAGAGGTCTTTCCCTCCCATGGCTGCCTTGTGTATCTGTTCTCGCCTCTCGCACAATATTTCCCATCGTCTTCTCGCTGCATCTCCTCACTTCGTCCAAACACCTGTTTGTAATCATCCCGGAGCATGATACCAAGGCAACCGAATCCACCACGGCATTGTGCGCCACGTCCGTCCTTGACACATCCATTTCGAGTTTGTCCCCTGCATGCCGCATTTACGTCAAGCACCAATACCCATTCCTTCCCGTGTGCGTTCTTAGCATCCACCGCCGAGAGTACATCCAGTAGTAGAGTACATGGCCCCATTGAGCAGAGAATATTTAGACTGCGGCAGATACATGTTTCTCCAGCTAGGAAGCACATCTGGTGTGCCATCGGTCGCGAGAGTTGTGCCCCACTCTCGCCCAACCCGACTTCTATGCCAACTTTCGAAACTCGAAACTCCAAGACAACTCGTAGGAAATACGAATCTAATCACCGCCATATAAATCTCCATCCAAGTCCGGAAAGGTCAGCCAAAACCTCTACCTCCGCGTGAGTAACCGTGAGTCACGCCGCATGGCCGTGCGTCGCATTAAAGTTATCCCTGCAGAGTGTTTTAATTCCTTGAGAGAATTCAACCTCCGAAGTCGATATGGCGCCCGCCCATACGCCCGTGAATACATAAATGCCCGATTCCACCTCCAGATCCTCCCTCCCCTAGCTCTCCCCCTCCAATCCTCTCAATCAAACCAGAATTCACTCACAATGCCCCGCACCACCCCCGGCACTTGCCCCCCCCCTCCCCCCCTTACACCGCCCTCCTCAGCGGCCTCCTCCCCCCGCTCTTCACCGCCGCCCTCTCCACCCCCGACACGCTCCCGCCCGACCTCCTCGCCGTAACGTTCTTCCCCTCCCTCGACGCCCACCTCTCCACCCGCCGCACCCGCGCCCTCACAACACTGCTCGCCGCCTTCTGGGCCATGGTCGCCGACACCGCCTGCCGCGACCGCAAATACCACACCCTCCTCGCGGTCTTCTCGCGCGAGATCCTGCCGCTGCTAGCGGCAAAGGGCGTGGGCGCCGAGACGTCGCTGGAGACGTACCTCAAGAGCACCCCGCGGCGTAACACCCCCTTCCCTTCCCTTCCCTTCTCTTCCCTTGCCTTGCCATTATATTACCGGCTATATACATGTAGCTAACGTCTGTGCCTAGCCGCACCTAACGACCGCGCCATCTCCCCGCTCCGAAACCTTCCCCGCCCAGCGCGCCGCCTACATCAACCACCTGCGCTTCCTCGCCCTCCTGACCTAGAAGCGGATCGTCGACTGCGGTGGTCTTCTCGCCGCCTGCACGCGCGGTGTGCTGCACGGGACCAGCGAGTTTGAATAGCTGTGTATATAAGAGACGTCAGACCATACTGTAGAAATGGAAGCTACCCCGTATACAGATAATATCCAGAAGCACAAGCTGACCAGGGCCGACTAAGCATCTCTAGCTTTCCTCTTCCCAATACTCAGAAAACATTTAAAAAAAAAAGAGCCCTACGTACATCAACAAAAATCTCAGCATGCCGAAATCGAATTCGCTCAATTCAATTATTACGCCTGGTAGAGGGGGACAGCATGCATCCTGTGTATATCTGGATCCCTGCCTACATATATATCTCGCGATGCGTCATGGCACAGCTTGATCTATAGACGCAGAACGACGTCACGTCACAGAACTAAAGCCGCATCCATCTGATCTCCATCTCCTGTGCAGATAGGGTGATAAGACCGCCAAGCACCCATCCCTAATATATCCCTAGTATGTAACTGGTAGACAGATTGGTCGTACCGCGGGAGTCGGTCATCCACGACCCAGATTACTTTTCAAAAGAGTGCCGACCTGTCTCCAGGAGGTAGTCCCCTACGAATACCAATAATCTTAATCATCAAACAATAAATTGATCATGCCGATGATATTAAGGGAGCTGGAAATGGTGTGGGGCAGCCTAAGGGAAGAATGAATCGGGTCTAGAAAAGGAAGCGGTGACAAATTGCTTATGGGGAAGGGAGATCGAATGGGTTAAAAAAAAAAAAAAAAAAAAAGGCGCCATCAATATTTCGTCACGCATTTCTGTACATGGGATTCTTCTCGAGCTCGTACGCGTGTTTTCATCGTTTTTGTTTTGTTTTGTTTTTTTTATTTCTTTGCGCATCACGTTTTATTGGTTTGTTAGATATTTTCATCACCTCCGGACTGTATACAATTAATGATGTAATCAATCAATCAATCAAACGCATTAATGAATTAAAGATAAAATTTTTATTTTAAATCAAATGCTGATGATATTGTAATCATAGACGATCACTCGATCCATGATGTCAATAATCAGGATAACCAGATTCTGTGTATTGGTAGGGTTAGGGTTGCACGCAATTGAACGAGATTATTCTTAGAAAGGGTACACGAAGCTCGCTGTCAATTCTCAAACCATCTTTCTACATCCAATTCATCGAGATATCAAGAATTGCCTTAACTGAGACTCGGGCGTGGGTTTCCGACTTCACGCTTTCCCCGGATACTTGTACATACATGTACAGATATACATACCGGGCTCTAGATTATGATATATCGGGGTCAAAAAAAAAAAACCCATAATCTTCATTTCTGAGTCTAAAAAACGTTAAGTTTCATGTCGCAGGTTAAAAGATCTTGATTTCTTGCATGTAAATTGAGCTCCAACAGCTCCGCGACTTCCGACAGAAGCCTTCCCGGTGTCAGATAACTTTCAATACCATAGAAGCTGATCCCACCAAACCCGGAGGTCACCTTCAGGACGAGTGCTTACAGCGTGAAACTGAGCATACGTCACTTTACCAACCCAAAGATCAAGTGCGCTACGTGTACGCTCGACTAGCTGACTCAATACCATCATCAATATCAATAGTCCGCATCACTTGAAATCGCCAAATTAAGTACAGAACTAAATCGACAGAAGCCATAATTAGAAAAGAAACATCCCAAAAAGAAATCTTCAAACATGGCTTTAAAATACACATTGCATACATCAATACTCAGAATATCTATATATAGATAGATACATGTAGATATAGTTGAGAAAGAAGAGACATGAAACGTTCGACGTCCCGCTAAACCACATTGTCCCCTTGATATCCAATATAAACCGCATATACAACTGAAAATTGAGCTCACGCGCGCCTACGTGTCTTCCACCAGCCTTTACTCTAGACAGCTTCACCACTCCCACAGCCTCTCCTCCGCCACCTACTCATCCTCATCTTCATCTTCCGAGGAATCATTGTCAGTTGACTCGTTCCAGTACCCTGCTCTCCAACGAATCATCCTCTCATCTTCCATCTGAATAGTTGTGACGTCGCCGTTCTCAAGGAGATATACTCTTAGCCAATCAAGCTCTTCAACAACGGGATACTCAAGTGGAAACTTTTCAAGCTTGTCTTGAACATTTGTCTTTGCACCAGCCTTCAGTAAACGTTTGATTGAACGCTTCGACGGCGCAGTGCCTGCAGGCGGCGCATCAAGGTGAAAAGCAACAGCGAGATGCAAAGCAGTTCGTCCCCCATTATCCACTGCGTCTATATTGCTTATAGGAATAAGAGCCTCGACTGCAGTGTCATTCCCAGTTGTTGCGGCGCACAGAAGTGGGGTGAGGCCGTTTTTGTCCTTTAGATTACTGTCGGCTCCTGCGTCATGGAGCGTTTTTATAACATCCGAGGTGCTACTTCTTTCACTCGTGGCCGCTAGATGTAGTGCCGACCTGCCAAGGGTATTTGTTGCGTCCACTTTGCTTCCTTTTTCCAAAAGAAGTTTCACCGCAGAATTATTACCATGCATTGCTGCGCACATCAAAGGCGTGAAGCCGTTTTTGTCCTTTAAATTACTGTTGGACCCTGCGTCATGGAGGGTTCTGATAACATCCGAGGTGCTATTTCTTTCACTCGTGGCCGCCGCTAGATGTAGTGCCGACCTGCCAAGGGTATTTGTTGCGTCTACTTTGCTTCCTTTCTCCAAAAGAAGCTTCACCGCAGAATTATTACCGTGTATTGCTGCGCACATCAAAGGCGTCCTGCTGGTATTGTCCGGTTGGTCGATAGATGGGGCGTGATTCAGGGAGAGGATGAATTCGATCACCGAAGGCTTGTTGTACTGTGCAGCTACGTGAAGGACAGTTGCCCCTCTTCCGGAAGTCGGAAGATTCAATATTTCCTTTGCTTTTTGCGAGAGTTTTTCCTCAGTTTCTTTACTCGTCTCTTGCTCAGCGTCCAGCGCGGTTTCTTGCTCGGGTTTCGGCTCGGCCTCCTTCTCGATCTCTTGCTCGATTCCTTCCTTGGCTCCCTGCTCGGCTTTCTGCTCAATCTCTTTTTCGACTTTTTGACCCGCCTCCTTCCCGCGTTTTGGCTCGGTTCCCTGATCATCTTCCAGAAAAGCCTTGAAGGCCTCTTCGAAATATTTGTCACCCAAAAAGGCCGCCAGATGGATTGCTGTGTATCCCGACAGATCCTCAGGCCAGCCCTTCCGAAGCCCGGAGAGATATGAAATAACGTGAGCGTGGTTTCCAGCGACGGCCAAGTGCAGTGCGGTGCGCCCATCGTTATCTCTGATGTTGATATCCACCTTTCCAATCACAACTAGCATTTTTACTGCTCTCAGATTACCCCTACTGGCCGCCATATGTAGTGGGTTCCTCCTATGCTCGGAGACCGCAAGAGGATCGGCACCTTTCCCCAAAAGTATTTGAATTACTTTAACGTGATCACCATATGCAGCCCAGTGTAGTGGTGTTCTTCTACGACTATCGCGAGGATTCAACTCGCACCCGTGCTCTATAAGTAATGCCACAAGGTCCTTTTGCCCCGTCCGAGCCGCGTTATGAAGTGGTGTAAATCCATCGTTCCCCTTAGCAGTTATTGGCGCCCCAGCCCCGAGAAGAATTTTAGCGATTGCCTTGGATTTCGCGTAATGTAAGGGTGTATACCCAGCAAAATCTGTTGGATCCGAAACACCGCGTGATTTGTCCTTGAGCTGTTTCGTAATGATATTAACGTCTTCAGGCAAATTACTCTCCACTGCGACAAGGTTATGCAGTTTAGTCCAGAACCCACGTGCATCCGGATATGATCTATCATCTGTCTCTCCCGGGGATTTCAGGCTGTATAACCACTCTTGCCACTCTTGGGAACATTCTGCTCTTTTCTGCCAAATATTTATCTGATTGATCTTAATCAACACGTCTCCATTTCCATATTTTTTCAACGCCTTGGTTATTTTCTTCCGTAGTCCGATAAGTTCTTGAGTTCTCTGAAATCTGTTTAAATTCCTATGGTTTAGTTCATTTTTACACCATTGAGCTTTAGAATGAAGAAGGCTTACTTCTTCCCCTCAAACCGGTGATATTTCTGTTCGCGAAATTGTTCAGTCATGTTTATTTCAAGAGTCAATTCCCGCATAAACTCCGTCAATGCACAGGTCGCCTGCTCAATTGCTGTCTGATACATACCCATATATTTGGGTCGAAAAGCCATAAAGCCCCACAGGTATAGCTCACCGGCTTCCTGCCAACGGTGATATGACTCCTGAACACGCCCACGTTCCCTGATAGAGTGAATCACCGCACTCATATCAGGAAGTTTATGCTTCATCATCAACGGAGGTATAACACTCAACATGATATCTTCGACAGATCCTAAGCCACTCCGCGATATATTCTCAACCACCCGATTAAGTTCTTTGTGTTCAAGCGTTATCGATTCGAAAAAGACTCTGCCACACTCGTCCATTTCCTGAACCAGTGGCATTAATTTGGTCGAGCCCTGTATAAATTTGACCGAATCGCATTGAGCAAAGGACCATATAAATGCAGAGAAAAGCTCCTGAGCGTATAGAACATCCAGAGGAGCATCAGAAATCACGCCCAATACCGGCTCAATGTCGCATAGAGACTTCTCATAGTAACCAAGAACGCGATGCCTCTCGAACTTGATGGATTGAATCGTACTTGGTGATTTAGAGCCGCAGTCATTTGGAGTAACACGTATCTCCCGATTGGCGTCAACTGTATCGATGCAAGCAGCTTCCTTGGGTGTGCTGAGCTCAATCTCAAATGCATCCGTCCCAGGAGCCTGGGGCGTTCCTAGGTCTAGGTCGCCCGTAGCCGTTGGTAGGAGTACCGCGGGCGCGGGCGGGAGCTTCTCGATCGGACTTTTAATTTTTACCTCTTTCACCAACGCAACAGCGCTGCCGAGCCACCAGTACATGCATTGAAGTATAGACGGATTACCTAGCGCAAGGAGCCGTAGGCTATGATTTCTCGATGCCGTTCCACTGAGACCGCCTTCTATACTCTGTTGGATCTTGCTACTGACTGCCTGCGATTCTTTCTCCGACACTGAGAATAGCCAGAGCGAGAGGAAAGCCTCAATTTGCGCCACATCCGCTTTCCATACTGAATCTTTCAGCGACAGATTGAATGTGATATCGTCTACTGGGGCGTCTGATGCTGGGGCTTTTGATGCTGGGGCGTTTGATATTGACCATACTAGGTTTTCCACACCCAAATCCTTTGGGAAAAATGCGTTCATGAAAGCTTCAATGGCCGAGGCCACACGAACAGCCTGCTCGAGGGCGGGCCCAGACCAGCCTGTCTTAGACCTAAGATCAATTCTTGCTTTTATGGTTTTCATGGAGGCTGATTCAGTCTCTGAGGTCTCGGTAAGTTTTTTGAGTTCTTGGTACCGATTAAAGTCCGAATCTACCACGCTTCGTACCTCCCACCCAAATGATCCCATCTTCCAAAAACCGTCAGGTTTACTGTCATTCCAAGGGCGATACAGTGCCCCATTTTTCCTTTGTATTCCTAGAAGCAGCGACCACCAATGTCCACGCGTTTCCCGGCCTTGCCCTTCAGCTGCCTGCCCTTCAGCTGCCTGCCCTTCAGCTGCCTGCCCACGCCGGCCCAGCAACCTACCACGGTCCTTGTCGTTCGATGTACGCGTTGCCAGCCAATCTATTTCGTGATCTTTTGGGACCGCAACCGCCCAAGGACTCTTAGACAAACCGCGGCGTATGTAGGCTCGCAGAATAATCATAGCGATGGTAGCAATAAGTTGAGATATTGAGGCATACCAGGTCATCGAACGAAGCCCCACAAACTGCAGTACAAAACCTGTAATTGCAACCACCGCCCCAGTAGTAGTGAGTATTGATGTAAAAAAGGTTTTTCGACTTCCCCTCTCCCTCCCTCGCCGTCGGGAGGTAATGACGTGATCACTCCTCTTTCTTGCCATAATCAAGTAGGAATCGAATATCTGATCGTTGACAGACCCGCCTTGTTGTATCCACAACATTTGAAGATCCCCGGCCCCGACTTTCGAATTCAATCTATTCAATCTATGGATTTCGGCTGTCGTTGCACTTTCAATAATATAGCTGCAGACAAATACCCCCGCAACAAGTACTAGCGTCCCCATACACGTAAGGGGAAATGCGTATGACCTCACATCTCTCCCGCCTTTCTTCTGCTTGAAATCCGGGTGATATGTTATGAACCAGTCAAACACAAGTACCCCAAGTTGGAAGATAACCCCCATCGCGGCTACAAAGTGGATCTCTGACCGTCCGTTGCGGAGGTGTATGTTCAGGGATATGTTGGGAGGTTCCTCGCTTAGCCTATCGACATCCTTTTTTGACCTGTTCGAATCGGTACCCGGAGCAGCTGGCCATTTCCTGTCGAGGTATTTCTTGGTCGCACCACAAACGTTCCCACATATCGCAAGTAGCTGATCAGGTTTGAAATAGTCTTTGAAATTTGTCCGGGTACCACGATCGTCCCCACATCCCTCAATACGTGGCTTGGGTCTGAAATATCTTTCGATCTTTGTCCGGATACTTATACGCGATGATGTTTGGCTACCTCCGAGGTTCTCCGGATCTCTATAGCTAGGAGCCGGAGCTTGTGGTAGAATATGGCCGATATTCGATAAACGCCCACCGAGACGGCTCGAAATCTCTAGCTCTTGCGCCTTGATCTTTTCCCACACCGGTTGTAAGGCAGGATATTCTGAAAAACCTATCAAGTGTCAGGCCTACAGCTTATAAACTAGCTATTCACCAGGATTAAGGGTATAGTATAGCAGCTGATCTCACCTTTTCGTATTAGAAGCCCTTCGTTTATTGCCTCTGACAACGTCTTAAAGCTACCTTTACCGCCCTCCATAAAGATAAGCTCCTTGATCGACGGTTTGCCCATCAATCTCACGACATGCCTGCCATTGAAAACTTCACAAACCTCACCAGAGGTAGACGACATCAGCTCTGACTCGGCAACAGCAATGTTCTCCTTCGCCCTCCCTATAAGAGCTTTTAGCCAGCTCCCACCTCCAACTCTTATCGCGCCTACGACTGCGGTAAGAACGCCGATGGGTGCCATCGAAAAGATGATGCTGTCTGCCCAACTCATAGACTCAGCCATGAACTGCATAGCTACTTGCTCTCCGAAGAGAGCAAGTATTGGGGCGAGATCTGAAAAGAGATTGTTGGAAAATTCATCGCCAGGATCAGAATCAGCAAATGTTGGTTGGCCTCCGACCATGGCTGATTATATGCGGTTTGGTGTACAAGCTGTAAGTCGACGTGAAGTCCAGTGCGGAAGAATTAAACGAAAGATGAAGATATCGGGAAAACCCTTGATCAAGATATGATATAGCCAGCACTCGCTAGGAAGGCTTTCTTTAGCACCGAGAGAAGGTTTAAAGGTAGGGGATATGGTTGATTTATATATGTAAGAATAAAGTTCACATATCAGAAATTGGACAGCTGCGTATCCTTATTACAAGTACAACACTGTAGGTACTTTATGCTGAAGACCCTGTAGGCATGGCTTAAGCCTTACGTTTCACTCTAGTACTCTAGATCTACATGTAGCCTGGATACAGCTGCATGTTCCGGATCCGTTGGAAATGTGATGGGGACCACCCTTCCCACCTTAATCCACGGTTCGTCAAGGATTCTACCAATTAACATTGCTTCAGATCATAAGATGATATATAGTATACGTGCGTGAATTCAGCCTCTGTCTATTGATGGTAGTACGAAATGCGCACTCACCATACAAACTAGGCAATATTTTGTGTACTAGAACACGTATGTACGCATACCAGGTCTGCGCATTTCTATCGCCACTCGTTTAATTTATTTTCCAATGCCTTTTAATGCCACAAACTTGACGTCTTTCAGCCCTATGAAGGCCGGCCCCAAATTCCCTCGCCAAGTGCCGATATTCATTCGCCCCTATACTCGCTTTAAAGGCCAGCTATACTATAAACTCTAGTACTTCACGCGGTGCTTATATTCGACGTCAATTAAGTACGTGTAGACGTCTAAAAGTACGTCTAGAAACATGATATATATATATATATCAATAGCGCCGTACTACCAACATATATCTGCCTTGTGCGGGTTAATCAAGCGGGGAATTTTGAGTGAAGAATTCAGCCGAATCTTCAATATATTTAACAGCTGCCTGCAGCTCAACATCCACTTACTGCAAGATTTGTTGGCTATACCCCTGCTGTCTTGCAAATAATCATTTGCCGAGGATGCCTTACTGCGCATTGGAATTTCAAAAAGCATCACATATGTCTGTATGTACGTCCAGGGTCCCCTCAAGAAGAAACATGGAGGCGCAAAGTGCAAGGAGCACCCAGGTTATATACCAATCCAGAGCTCAATTTTTTGGAGCTTTGGGGATCTTTTATCGTGATTTACAAGTTTTATATTACATATAAACATCATGTGTATTATGTTAAATTATAAACCTTCCCCGGAGCCCGGATCTTGAATCGTTATCAATCTCTTGCATGGTTCTTCGCACTGCCCGAAATGCAGTAATGATATAAAGTGATCGATTGGACAACACTTAAAAGCACTACATCCAAACAACGAGCACATTAAAAAAAATCAGTGCATATACGCACATATACTTTACATGTATGCACCCAAAATGCCTCTTGATCGCCACCCCACAATTAACTTCTCCACAGGTCGGCGTCGCGAAATGAAGACTTTATACTGGCATATAACGCCGATTCTAATGACGGGACATGAAAAACTAGGATTCAACCTTAAAGGTTTCCAATACTCTCAGCTAATTGAGCTCGGCAATTAATGACCCGTAGGTTGTCCACCTACAGCATGGACTCTACGCGTGCACAGACGTTTCAGTACGGGAATTAATCCGCTCTTGTCCTACCGGCTGTATCTATGTACATGATTTATATTTCCCTATACATACATGTATTCGCTCATTGATCTCACGAGGCATGCCTACATGCAGGAGTATAATTGCCACTCGTAGTTAACCGAAACTCATACGATCATGCCATAGTACATGCCAGAATGTTCCAAATCTCAAAACACAACCATATCTCAATGTCAGATCTAGATATGACTACTTTCCTACCTGATGTGACCAATCTTCCTTATTGATTAACATCCGGACCCCGTATTATATCTTCAGCCTCAGAATCTACTTAACCAGCCAGATCAGGCGTCAATAGCAATATTCATACCTAGTCGATAAATCTAATTATAAGACATCAAAAAATATATATATATGTACAACCTAATGCCGGGACTATCAACGGTGATTATGAAGGAATTCTTTCTGCATCTTTATCATAATTATAACATTTATCCGCATTATATACTCGAGGCAGGAAATTGTAAGAAGAGCTAGAACCTGAAAATACTACTAGAGTAAGGGGATGACACTCAAAGTGATTTCCAGGTTCCGAATTTCTTACCTACCCGAGTAGTATGTAGATAATATGGTCATGAGAGATCCTGTAAATTCAACTACTTGTGACGCCGCGCGAAGTGCACCACCAGAGTTCGCATGCGCATGTACAGACATAACATCAAGATACCTGCGCCTGCCCGTCCACCGATCGAGATGTTGGTGGCCGATCTCTCTTGGAAACACCTTGCAATTGCAATTAGAACCAGATCCTTAACCCAGCACTTTGAATCTCGAGCGGCTATGAATATGCGATAAGTAATCACCGAGCCCACTCACAGCTTATCTACGATATCCTTCTAAGCATATATTGGATAGCTGATATATATATATTCCCACCCACTAGAGCTGAGCCTGAATGACTTATCGCCAAGGCCTCTTCAGCATGCAACTGGGTAGCTATGACGTTTGTTTTCAGCATCTACTTCTACAACTAACCTCTCACTTTCTAATAAATATGCAATGCTAAATATTACGTGATCCTTGAGTATTTCCCCCGAAAGATGCCATTAGGATACCGTCTTGCAATTGGCTGTGTAGAATAGCCCCACAGAGTTAATTCTGAATACTTTGCCAACGTTCGGTGATATTTTACCTTGAAGATCCTTATAATCGTGTGTCGTACCGAAACCCGACAGGAATAATGAGGACCTCAAATCTGCAGGTTGGCGACCACATATTAGGGTATCTGCGAATACGTTCGCCTAACTAACGTATAATGGTTATCTCAAATTATAGAATTGGTATTTAGAAACGGAACTATAGGCAAGTTTTCTTTGACTGCCTCCCATATTCTTGCATTATGAGTGGAATTGTATCGACGCATTATGTTGCTTCTCGGGGATATCCAGGAGCGGTTAAAAGGCGGTTGTAAGAAGAAATTATAAATAGATTTAACTCCCCTAGGTTCACTAAAGTACCTACTCCAAGACTGCATCGCAGGATCTGACATCATAAATATGCGAGAGTGGTTGCTTCTGTGAGAGTTGATGTCGAATATCAGGCAGACGTGAGAGTAATGCGGTATGCAGTCTATGTTAATACTTTTAACGCACATGAGAAGGGATGTAGGTACATATATGTAGGCGAAACGATCAAAGCATTCGGGGAGCTCACTTTGAACAATAGGTTAGGTAATACCGCATCCTATAGGACCACATTGAATGAACTCCTAAATGACTTCCATAAGAGATTGAGAACGGCATTCACCCCTCGTGATCACGAATATTCAGGGCTTTGAAAATCCTGTGGTAGGGTGTAACAATACTAGATTACCATGTGAGCATCGCTCTACGCCCAAGTGGTTCAGGTCTATACTTACGTATGGGATTTCAATGTAATGTATGGCAGCTGCAGAAAATTGTGGAGTTAGTGAAGCCTTTTTGAAGATGGGAGGAGACATTGAGTTACGTTAATGTCAAGCGTGCCATAGCTCAGGAAATGTGGGAAGTGTATTCAAGTCTCAATGCTTCTCGACGAGCGAACGAAACCGTGCCTTTTCAAAGCGATGAACCAACTGTACTATTATGATGACGGACGAAGAGACTCGGCGTGACAAGAATATAAACTAGATGTTGCCATTTCTGAACACCTATCCCATGCCTGCCGCGCCTCTCGGCTATGTTCAGTCAGGTACTCCGCTCCATATATCGCCATTGGTCATCCCTGTTAAGCGAACACCGACCGCATGTGCCACAATGTTCAGCATATAATTCATAGAAGGTCTACATGTACTTACCATCGATATAAATTTTATCCCCTTAATTCTATTAGAAGTGAACCATCATGGGATATATATATGCAGACTGTTTTGCCATATATTGTGAAAGAGTGTGTATATTAACGTACGACATCTACACGACCAGATTCAAAGGACAGATGTGAGCCCCGCAATATCACAGAGAAGTGAGCTTGGTGATAACACACGTATATCTCTCAATGGTTAATTGATAATGAGTGAGAAGAATTATATGACCCTTGTACGGCGATAAAGAACTGTCTCTTACAATAAGTCAGCGAGTTAAACCTTGAAAAGCTTCTCCGGAGTACCGGAAAACTGCCCACCTCCCCACGCAAAACAGTCCCTATTCAGGTGGTAGTCACACAGTCGAATCTATCACTGTAATAAAGAAGTATCGTGGAGTTCTGATGACTAATCATCAAATATCACTCGCAGGGTTAGGGTATTTCTTGAGCTCATTGTTTCGTTTCTTTAAATCACAGTTGAGATGATACCCGACCCTCCTGTATGCTGAAGTCAACATATCTGGGGGTTCCAGATTTGTAGAAAGTTTGTGTTGCCCTAGGCTGTCCGTGACGCCTATTGTTGGTGGCTGAGGCTGAAGGCAATGTTGTGGAGCACATCTCAGCTGAGAATGGTTCATATTTGGCTCTAGAATTGTCGATATCAATCTATCCCTTCCGCCGTAGAGTTTGTAGCGGAGGCCGCAGTGGCCCTTAGTAAGCGTAACCACCCATAAATTCATTGAGTTAACTGTGTCCCGCGCCTTACGTACCACCTTGGCCTATCAATCAACCCTGGTCGCTTGATACTGGGGATGTTTACTTTCAACTAGCTCGGCTCAACTGCACATACTCATTCTTGTCGACATGAACAACTGCAGCCACAATTGAGCCCATCACGTTGAGAAGTTCTCTGCTCTGCATATTGGGCACCATCTCAAACCTTTCATCAGGTCATCCGCCCCTCATGCGGCCCAGCTGTAGAATATTCCCATCCCCATCTCAGCTTTCTCGGGACAGAGAGACAACGGCAGGTAAACTCATCTTCTCATACACGATGATCTAAACTCAGATTCTTTAGGCTCTCGTCGAGTATATAAAGCAGCTATGTTCGCCTATTCCCTTCTATCTCCCACCAATCAATCAACTCAAGAAAATTAAAGAAAACTTCTCATCAATCCACTCCGTCGAAACAATGTCTACTAAGGAAAGTCATCGCCCATTGAGATTACTATCTCTAGGTAAATCTCCATGGTCCTCAGGTGCACTAGTATCAGTGAGAACTCTAACAGATTTAGATGGCGGGGGAGTTAGGGGACTTTCTTCGCTTATAATACTTGAACGCTTGATGTGGAGGGCCGATCCCAATGCTAGAGTTTCTGATTATTTTGATATGATTGGCGGTACAAGCACAGGAGGGTTTGTTCCCCTTATATCGAGCATAAGAGACTGAATACTAATTTCCTGTTAATATGAAGCATCATCGCTATTATGCTTGGGTGTTTGGTACTACTCCTGTCCTGGAACATCTTAAATTATTCAATGCTAATGAACTGGGTAGAATATGAAAGTCTCTGACTGTATTGATGCATACGGAGAACTTTCCCGAATGATCTTCAAACTCTCCTGGATAAAGGGTAATCCCGCCGCTAGAGGTCTTCGTGCAGCCGTTGGTGCTGCGCAATTTGATTCGGAAACCTTGAAGAAAGCAATTTTTCAGATCCTGGAAAAGTATCTTCCTAAGGAAAGGAGGGGAAACAGATCAGTTAAAGATGTTCCATTTCTTTGCGACACAGATAAGTGTAAAGTGTATGTTCTAGCCTCCCTCTATTCATAAGGCTCCATAGAACACATGAATGGGCCGGGTTCATAATGTTAACCGTCAACAGGTTTGTGGTGGCAGCCCAATACGCCGACGGAGCTCCCACTCTTATCCGGAACTATACCAGCTCCGATTCTCCAGAAAATATGGATTTCAAGATCTTCGAAGCAGCTATTGCTACTTCTGCAGCCCCGACCTATTTCTCCCATTTCTCTAAGCAAAGGGAGGGCAATACTGATACGGCCGACTTTGTGGATGGGGGCATTGGGTCTAATAATCCCATTCTACATCTTGATATCGAAAGGAAAAAGTTTTTTGGAGATCGCAAGATTGGTTATGTCATCAGTGTGGGGACAGGTATTGCCACCACAGCTACAGAGGTCTCGACAAATCCAATCTCACTGGCGAAAAAGATTTTAAGCATCCTGACGGATTGTAAATCGGCTCACACACTTTTCAACCAGCTCAATCGAGACTATAAATATTTTCGTTTTGCTGCAGATGGGTTGGATGGTATTGCACTTGACGAGTGGTCGGAGTTGCAAAAGATTAGACAAATCACCTCAAGTTATCTCGCGGCTAGTGAATGGCTTATCGGCGATTGTATAAAGCTTATGAAGAAATTAAACGATCCAAACCAACTAGGTGGTAAGAGGAGAATGACTTACTCCTAATAAACATGTGGAAACCCCGGCACTAACAGTGTTGTAGAAGTAGAACCTCTGAACCCTGAGCAAAAAGGTATGTCTATACGCAGAGATACTCCATTTTTCTGATAAAACTTGCGCAAATATAGCTAACTCAAAGTTTTCATGATAGATTGTATGGGTAAACTATCCTTTCCTCAGATCGATAACCGTCAAATCGAAGCACAAACAGCAGAAAATACCTTCGAGTGGATCTGGAAAGCCGATGGAAAGTTCCGCAAGTGGATTGATGGAGCAAAGGGCAACACATTTTATGTCACAGGCAAACCAGGCTGTGGAAAATCGGCACTCATGAAAAAAACCCTAAGTCTACTGCAACGCGATCTGAGTTACAAGAGTTTGGCAGTTGCAAGCCATTTCTTTAATGGTAGAGGAATAGATTTACAAAAGAGTTTGGAAGGCATGCTGCGGACACTCCTCGTGGACATCCTCATATTACACCCCCACCTCTTCGATCATATCCTCAAAGACCACATGTATCAGAATGATCGACAAGCTCTAACCGCTTGGACGTGGCACACGAACAACCTAAAAAAGCATCTTAAAACGATGCTCGCCGATCCTTCAATTTCTCCCATTATATTATTTATTGATGCGGTAGACGAGTGTTTAGACGAGGATAAAGACGCAATAATCACTCTTTTGGATGACATTGCGGATATTCCAGGTGTCAAGCTCTGCATATCAAGTCGCATTCATCCCGGGGGTGGCAACCCAGATCTGATTCTCGACAGGGAAAATACAGATGATATCGCGGGGTGGGTACGACAGGAGATGAAGAAACTCCAGAGGAAGTACGAATATGACGAGGACGAAATGTATCCAATTACCGAAGCGATTATATCAAACTCTGAGGGCATTTTCTCGTGGGCCGTACTTATTGTCCGAAAAATACAGATAGGCGCGCGCAATAGGGACGAGATTGGAGACTTACGCAAAATCATCGACGAAACCCCAACAACCATGACTGATCTTATACCGAAGATCTTTGAAAATATATCGAAGTCGAGCGAGGCCCACCTTGAGGAAAGCAGGAGGATCTTCCGCTTCTTATATTTTACCGAGCGGGCCCTAAGCATTTCCGAATTCCGTGATGGTGTGAATTCCGATATACCCCCTCCCTCGGGTGGGAGAACAGTACCGCTCTCTGAGAAGGCTACAATTCAGGCGGATGGGCGTTTTGAGCAACGATTAATAGCAAGATCTGGCGGCCTTCTCGAAAAGGGGGTTGGCAGTAACCTCGTCCTCGTGATCCATTACTGCGTCAATGACTTCCTCATGCCCAAGGGATTCGGTATCCTTGGAGTAGATCTGACCGGATCTCCAGACCTATATACAGCACAGAGTCATGACTACCTCGCAAGCCTCTGCATTTCATATTTGATGAGAGAGAGTATGGAGGAGCAGGTATCTTTGATTGAGAAAGACATCTCCCCGGAGAGCGAATCCGAAGTGGAAAGGAAAAATTACACACCAGAAGATTGGAATTGGAAATATCCTTTCCTAAATTACGCTACCTCATATTGGTTCCACCACGCTCGTGAAGCGCAAAATCTCGGGATTGACCAAACACACAATCTCGCGAGTTTCGATGAGAAATATTTCAACCTTTGGATTAGAATTGACAACCTTCAAGGTTGCTATCCATCAGATCGATGGGTTCCCGGAACATCTAAATTCCACATTGCGGTAGAAAATAACCTACTCGATTATGTCAAGGGGCTTGACCTTACGGAAATGATAGACACCCCCGGCGGAAGGCATGGCAATGCGTTGAGTGCGGCAGTGCTGCTAGGCCATCAGGAGATGCTCGAATACCTCCTTGAGAAAGGGGCGAATACTGAAGTAAGATATCGTTTTACCAAAGAAACACCACTTTATCTAGCAGTGAGCTCCTGGAACGAGTCCTTGGTCAAAGCCCTGTTGAAGGGCGGTGCCAATCCGAATGCTCAGTGTGATGAAAATTACACGCCGCTACATCTGACCAGCATTAATGGGGACGAGCAAATGGGCAGGCTTCTACTTGATGGGGGAGCTATCATAGATAAAACATGCGATGGACTTGATATTCCTCTTCATTTTGCAAGCAGGCACGGGAATAAGGAATTTGTTCAAATGCTTATCGAAAAGCAAGCAGACATCAATCTTACAAATGCAAAAGGAGACACACCACTCCATGACGCCTGCTACAAAGGATATTCTGATATTGTTGAGATCCTTCTCGCCAACAAAGCCAATTGCAATATTGTAAATCTTGACGGAAATACACCTCTGCATTGCGCTTGCATTTCCACCTACGACGAGCCGGATCCAGAATATGTCAAGGACCAAATCCGTGCCGATGCTATCTCAGTCATTCGTACACTTCTCACGCATCCGAATTCACTGGGTATCAATCCAGCATTGAAGAATGCGTCAGGGAAAACGCCACTGGAATTGGCAGACGAAATTGTACGAGCTAGTGCCGCCAAGATCTTAAAAGAGACGGCTGTTCGTGATGCGAGCAAATAAAAAATTTCAGAGTGCGGATATATACTCTAGGTATGCAATTTTAATAATCTTCGATCGGGAGTGAAATTAGTTTAGCTCACCAGTTTACTTTAGTTGAAGCGCATAAAACTGAATATTTAGCAGTGGAAAAGGTTACATACGTAGTAGTTGGCGGCTTGGTGGTATCGAGAAATAAAGGCCAATGATGATGGGGTAGGGGGACACATTATATATATCATGAAGGATACATTTTCTTTGAATTTCTTGGTGCTAAATTCGTTTTTCACACATTTATATATATAAAATAACACAATTCTCAGTAACTAGCCTTAATACTCCACCCAGTTCCCACGCCAGTGCCTGAGTCTCCATAACTACGATCGAGGTAAGAAGGCACCAGGCTCGAGCTCGAGAAGATGGAGATATGTTTTAGAACGGACTAGGAGTACATCCACTACCCACGTGTCTACTAGTATAAAACCTATTGATATTGAAACAAATAGAGAAAAGGTCTAAAATAAGACTCTTCTCGGTAGAGGTGCTTTACAACACATGATGCAAGATGACACAGTTCGCTATGATACAACTATGTATGTACATGTCCTTGATGGCATAAGCTACAGTACGAAAAAAAGAGGCTGTAATAGGTACTGTACCAATACGGAATTGTGCAAAACTTCCGAATTAAATCGGAATCCTAACTATTGTACCGTAGCAACACCGTAACAATACCGTAACCCTACGGTATTTTGCCAGATATGGTACTGGATCCACCCGCTTTTTTGGTACTGTACTATATCTTATTTCATAAGTTACTATTTCTTACTTTCATAAGTTACGATGATTCCCATTGTTACAGGTTGCCAGCCTACTGTTTTGGATTATTCCTTATGTTATTTACTTATTTATTTTCCTTACTGTGTGAGAGGTGGAGGAAGTGATTGGGAAGTTCTGGGGTAGTGCGATATTGTCATAGACTACGGTCTGTATACAATTAATGAATTAAAAAAAAAAATGTCCTTGGTGGCTGATCATGAGCACCGACATCGAAGGGTTAGGGTTCTGCCTCATCTTGGCACATTGCCAAGCTTTAAGTATTACTTCCAGCGCAGCACCCATTATGGGCGGGTGGTCTAGTGGATAGACTGTTCGTCGGGTTAGACACCGAGTGTACCCAGGATACAACCACATACATAAGGTCCGGGTTTCAAACCAGGGGTGGGGGTAGGAGCGCAAATTCATTAATAAGTCGCTGCGGTACCTTTTGTAGTTCTATAGAACCTTTTGTTCTTTTCTTCTTTTTCTTCTTGTAGTCGTGATGAAATATAGAAACACTATTCCATGTTTGATTTCTCTAGAGGCGGAAGGGGTGAGTGGTGGGGCTGGGAATCGACCTTTATTACTGGCCTTGCCCGATTGTCTTTGTGCTCTCGGTGTAAGGTCAAGCAGATGCCTCCTGAGAACCGTGTCATCTTGCATCATGTGTTATTGCAGAGCATGTATACCGAAAACTGTCATTTTAGACGTTTTGCATAAAGAAAAACCTCATCTATAAGTATGAAAAGAGAAGGGTATTTCCAAAAAGAAAAGAATAATTCTCTGGACGAAAAGAACCCTAACCCACCATGTACCTTAGATCGCTCCAACCCGGTCCCCGCCCCCAAAAAATTAAAATGAGGAAGCCAGTGCGGCACCGTGAAAGTTTCAGGCCAAGACGGCTTTATTTGCAATTGGCCGCTCTGCTATCACGACGATTACAAGCTACAAATGCAAACAAAACATAACCATTTAGAATATAGAATTCCGTTATTACTAAACTCTTACAGTCCCAGAACCAAGAGCTAAGAAGAAATCAAATCACTACTAGATTAGCTCTATGTGTCCTACTCCACAAGTACTACCTGATGTGGAGAATAAACCAGAATGAGCGAGATTCGCAATAATGGTCTACCTTATGTTGCTGATCTCTTCGCCCTCCTTGACTTCGCATAAAAAGCAAAAAGGTAATTTCCACATTTAGGATTCGTACCTAAGGTCTCTTTCACACCTTTGTCTTCTAATGTGCTGTATTTCACTCACTTTTCTCATACAAACCCCGGCCCTAGACGGAGGGAGGGCGGGTCGGGGACTTGGGTAGAACAAGCCGAAGGCCTATTACTTACCGTGCGCATTTTACTAAGTACACATACCGTACTAAAAGAACGGGGTGAGATCAATACCATAGAATCCGGGATTTAGGTAAGAATGCCGAATTCACTCTGCATCGTAATAAGCATACCGTGTCAATACTATACATACTAGCTTATTAGCGGGAACACCGTAGCGAATCCACACCATCTTAAGCTTTCCATCATTTCCTTGCCCATTGATCTTATCCTATCTCATAAAATCTTTATACTCTCTTATATACGGGCAGCATTGGAAGACAAAGGGATGACGAGTGTAGTCAAGATGTCGTTGAACTGAGGCTTGGCGTAATCAATATTCGAGTGATTTCTCATGACCTCCTGTTAGAATAATAATCATAACAAGTCTCCCGCACATTTAAGTACTCATGGGTTAAATTCTGGCTTACGTCCAAGTAGTCCTTCATTCACCACATTACTAAGCTTTTACTGCAGGATGGCATGACGACGACTACATATATCCTCCAGGTTGCATGATACGCAAGTGGGGGCCTGATCAATGATCAATACACCGATCTGAAAATATCCTTGCTATTATCTCTCTCAATTTGGACTTGATCTTCAAATACGTTTTTACGGTGGTAGTAACCATATATAGAGATATCGCTTCATAGCGTCCAGCCTTACTTGGTATCGCTCGGCGAAGAAGACTGAAATGTTGTCATTTCCGCCTCGTTTGAGTCTTTGTGAGACCTATGTCAGC